GATAACCTACCTTCTGAGATGAAATGTTAGGTAAGGCAATTCACCCTTCCTCTCCCACTCTCTCCTATAGAACCGTTAGCACCACATCCCCCAACCCTTCGGGCACTAGTTAAATCCCTGGAACGCCATTCATAGATCTTCCTCCAGTGTTCCCCTACTTTGAAAAGAAAAAGGCACCATGGATATTTATTTATTAATTTTTAAAAGGATTTTACTTATTTATTTTTAGAGAAAAGGGAAGGGAGGGAAAAAGAGAGGGACAGAAACATCAATGGGGGTTGCTTCTCACACACCCCCACCTGGGGACCTGGTCCCCACAAATGTGCCCTGACCATATTCACTGGTGACCTTTTAGTTTGCAGGCCTGCGCTCAGTCCCCGGAGCCACACCATCTAGGGTGCACCAAGGAGATTTAAACTATTTAACTGACAGTAGCAATTCTCATTAAATTAATACCTCTTTGTAATCTTTTAGCCACTGGGCAATACACTGAACTTTCATACTACAAGAGGCAGTAACATTTCAAGAGAAAATCATGACCATTCTGCTTTGCTCCAGCAGTCTAAAGGAGTATTTGAGTAGCTTACGAGTTCTTTAGAGGCAGCAAAAATTCATGTAGTAGGAATAAACTTCCAGTTTCCAAAGCTAGAGCTACTGGCATTAATTAACACTATTTCCTCTCCTTCCCACCCTATACCTAATCAGAGGCCTGTCTCTCCGATGTGTCCCCTCCTTTCCCACACCTTCGGCCTGGTCTTAGTCTACCAGGCCTTCATCACTTCGCATTCTGTTTCCTGCAACACTTTCCTTGGTCTCCATGGGTCCCAGCTCTCCTCTCTATTACGCATCCTGTTCCACATGCCTGAAAATGTGCTTACTTGTTTAGCTACTTCTTTATACCCTACTTCATTCCTACAACTGGACTAAATCATCCCAAACCCTTATTTGCATTCTATCTCTCTTTTAAGTACTCTTTCATTCATCCAGTAAATATTTAATCAGCACCTACTATGTGTGAGACAATGAGTCAGGCTCTACAGGAAGGTGAACAAAACTCGGATCAGCACCTCAAGGGGTTATATGGGGAGTGGCAGACATGCACACAAATAACTATAATAAGATGGAAATTTGTACAGGTCATTAAGACAGAACTGTCACCTGTATGTCAAATAAAATTAGAATTGGTAAAGAAGATGTAGAATGTAAAGAGACAAGGGAAAGGCTGTTGAGGTTTCCAACCTGACGGTCTTGAAGAACTGCAGTGCTATTAATAGGCCTAGAAATATCAGGAGGAAATACAGATGGAACCTGCTTGACAGGAGACTTGAGGAAATGATCAGAGATGAGATTGCTGTCCTGGGTTAAGACTTTGGAAGCAGTCTAAGAAATTTCCTTTTTTTTTTTTTTTAAGATTTTATTTACTTATTTTTACAGAGAGGGGAAGGCAGGGAGAAAGACAGGGAGAGAAACATCAATGTGTGGTTGCCTCCTGCAAGCCCCCCTACTGGGGGCTTGGCCCGCAACCCAGGCATGTGCCCTGACTGGGAATCATGCGACCCTTTAGTTCGCAGGCTGGCATTCAATCCACTGAGCCACACCAGCCAGGGCTAAGAAATCTAATTTTGACACCAAAATATTAGAATTTCCAGGATTGATAGTTTGAAGGAACAATGGCACAGAATATAAAACTGAAACTATTCCAGAAAAAATCTTGGCCACGTAGCTTCGGTGGATATGAGGAAATGTGGTGGGAAAGGAAGGCTACTGACACTTCCCACCCACCCACAATCTACTGGCTTAAACAGCTTGTTTCACCTAGGCAAATTTATATGGCTCTAGAGCGAGGGTTTTAAACCCTGTTTTGCACTGTTACAAACAGTGCACTCAGCATCCTGACACACCACGGAGACTCCTAATGAAACAACTTCAGGTAACCTTGGCCATTCCACAGCATTTTTGGTGCTATCCATGGTGTCTCAGAACCTCAAGTAAGGAGGACCAGCATGCTATTTTATTGCTGCTAGTGATCTTCCTAGGTCTAATTAATAAACTCTGCTCCATAAATGCTAAATCCTTTGAAGTTGCTGAAAGCATCTATGGGTGATGTTATGATTCAGATATCCACTGACAAGTAAAGACTAGCAAATATTTTCAAAATCAGAAGGAATGACACATCACAGTCACCTTCAATTTCTTTTGGGAAGCCAGGCAGATCTAAAAACAAATCAACACACAACTCTATGAATATTATAAAAACCACTGAATTGGTAAATTGTATGGTATGCAAATTATGTCTCAATAAATGTTACTTTTAATATCAATAAACATGTTTTAAACATAATGTTAGGTTGCAGAAATGTTATAGCTAGGGATCTAGCTTTTGTCCTTAAAATGTTTATACCGCTGGAAAAATTTACAAAATGGAAACCCTATTAAATTGCTGTGACAAAACCATTATCATCTTGGTGAAACAGAATAAACTGGTCTCTTGCCTTTCACCATAATAAGAGCTGATCTGTATAACACATCAAAATCTTACTTTAAGCTCTGAGTGACATTTTTTAAAAGGGCACTTTTCAGATTTTACCACTATGTTGAATACCATAATTATGGCATGTCACTAAATACATCTTTCCTAGTTATCTACCTCAGAACTTCCTTCCCTATAATCCTCTGCCAAGGAAGAATCCTTGTGGTTATCCATTGATATTCCTTCTACCAATTTCCCTCTTTCTCTAATAATCACTATCCGAGCTTTTATTTCTAGAACCATGCCAACATTCCCCATACCCCAACCCGTTTCCCAACTTCTGCTAATACCATAGCAGCTATCCGCCTTCTGTTGAGTTACAGCAGGTTATTTATGCCCTTGGAGAGTCAAAATAGGTCAAGATATAAGAAGCAGACTGTGAGCCCTTTGCGGGAAAGGACTGTGTCTTGTTCATTGTCGGAACCTCTCAACATTAAGCAGAGTACATGGCACCCAGGAGGTGTTCAGTAAATACTTTTGGCCACCATTCAACTAGAGTCCATTCACACAAAGAATTAGCCGACAACAACCAAGTGACTAGATTATTCTTAGGCATAAGTATTTTTAGGAGAAGGCAGCTAGCTTAAACTCAACCTTGGTTTTGATGTCTAAATCAGACTGTCTTTATGATGACTATAAGGTAATTTTAAAACAGATTGTGAGGAAGCTATGGTTGAAGCCCAAAATCTTACAACTGAAAAATCACAAGTATCTTCCCTCCCCCGCCCGACAAATTATCATGGTGGGAAAAAGCAGATCCAAAATCCAAGAGCTATTTATTATCTAGCCCATCTCTAGTTAACTAGCCTACAATTAGGCAGCTCAGGGATGGACTCCTTACCACAGGGAAAGGGGGAGGGAAACTATGCAAAGTAAGGAATGTTTACAGATCTCTTCATGTGAAAATGACTCAAATCAATTTCTTAGTAGCCACTTCATATATTCATAAGAATTAAATGAGTTAATTTTTAAAGCACTTAGCACAGTACCTGGCCCATACTAGGCATTATATAAATGTCTGTGATTAGAGTGACTTTGACTCAGTTTCCAACTGCACTCATTATACATTAGATATCTACAATGCCTAAAGAAATTATTAGGTTTAAAAAAAAGTTTAAATTGTGCAGTCTTTAAATCTGGGGCTGGAAAGAAAGGGGTCCCAGAGAATGTTCCAAGAAAACTCCTCATTTCGTAGTTGAAAAAATTAATCACATGACTCCTATTTGTAGAGAAATTCACAGGTTGCAAGAAGCTTTCCTAATTATTTTAATCCTCACAACAACTTTGTAAGAGATGCAGGACAGATACAATTAACTCCAAGTACTGAAGATGTAAGGACTTGCCCAAGGTCACACAGTAAGTGAAAAGGCCTGGGGCTAGAATCCAGTTCTCTTGATGTGGAGTCCAGACCTCTTTTCTCTATAACATGCTGCAACTTGGGCCCTGGGATTACTTGGGTCCCATTTGGAAACAATGATTCTAGAATCCTAAATGGAGATTCTGCTGCAAATGTGAACTTGAAAAGTTAAGGCCATTCTGCTAATGGTAATTAGAGGTAATTAATAGCCGACAAAACGCTTCCCTACACATACGAGTTACTGTATAAAATACCATGATTACACATACTCACAAAGGACACCACACACTGCCCAAGACAAATTTTCAGAACAGTCTTCGAAGGGACAGTTCTCCAAAACATGCCATTTAGAAATTACCAGACCCGAGAATAGTGATGTCAGTATTACAAAGAAAAGGAAGCCACTTCATTTAAATTAAACCCAGAAGAAAAGGCTCGCCCCAGCGGATGGTGAAGACATGGAGCCTAACAAGGCTCTAAGGATTACACGCAGGGTGCAAACTCCCAGTGACAAATGAGTGAGGACCATCCCAGCCCGTGAATCAGCTTTCATTTATCCAGCTGGACCCTCCCAGGGGCTTCACCACCCCCAGGGCAGCGATCTGAAACCCAGCAATTAAAGGAGAACACTGGCTGGCGACAATTTGCAGGATCCCAAATAACCTCACAGAAATGCTGGCTGGCGGTAGAAGTGGCACCGCATACCAACACCAGACGTTATTTTAAGCACGTGTCCCCAAGGGAGGGACCATCTGATCCACCAGACAAGCATCTTCCACCAGCTAGGATTTTTCCCTAACGCGAACCGGAGGGCTGCGCAATCCTGATCCAGGCCCGCCCTCCTAAATCCCCTCTTCCAGAAACGTGCTCTGGTCCCAGCCCAAGACGCGTGTCAGGCGCCAGAGACCGCTCTCGAGACCGGCCTCCCTCCGCCGCCTTCATCATCATTACCCTCCGAAAGAGGAAGGCGCCTTTGCGGGCGACAGACGGGCAGGGCCGGGGGTTTGGAAATGCTTGGAAAGCGGGTGGCGCCCCAGCCCCTCCCCACCCCAGCCTGACAGCCGGCGCCGTGGCCCGCGCGGCCCCCGCCCCACCACCCGTGGGGCGCCCTACCTTTGTGTAGAGCTCGGACGCGGCCATGGCGAGCCCGCGGTGTCGCTGCCCCCCGCCCGTGCGGAGGCCGCACCTCGCCGGGGAGGCCGCCCGCGCCGACTAGGAAGCGCCCAGGCTGCCGCCGCCGGGCGCAGGGCAGGGTCGGGCCGGGCGAGGCCGGGCGGGGCGGGGCGCCTCAGGCGCGGGCAGCCCGCGGGAGCCTAGCCATCACCCTCGGTCTCTCCCGGAGCCGCTTCGAGCCCTCCGCGTGCCCAGGGTCCTCGGAGTCGCCGGCGCAGCCCCCTCGGCGGCGGGTGATGCTGCCGCCGCCGCCGCCGCCGCCCTGTGCATTGTGGGAGCGGGAGGAGGCTGCGCTCGAGCGCGGCGACCGCGGTTGCTTCGGGCTCTCGCGGGCTCAAGCTGCCTCCCCTCGGCTGCGGGCTCCGAGCCTCATCTGCCGGCCAGCCTGCGCTACCCCAGGTCCCCCGCCGGCCTCACACCCGACCCGGGGGCGCGGGGCACCCCGGACGTCCCCTGCCCCAAGATTCCTGGAGAGTGCGGAACCGAGCCCCGGGAGGGGCGGCGATAGGTGGTGTCCCTGGGGGTATCCAGGTAAAAGACCGCTTCTCCTGTCTTAAGAGCCTATCTGGGCAAAGCTTTGGGTGGATGATTTTGGAAGGCCATGGGATAACCTAGACTTCCCGAAGAGCCTTGTTAGCAGTAGAGAGTGAGTGAGGACCAAGAAGCTGAGATACAGAATCACCAAGGCACACATCACCTTAGTGTCTGCAGCAGGGTTGTTTTTATGATACCAGAGCATAACGGCCTGTTTTAAGCGACAGAAATTTGTGAGCCTTGAAAAAATGCCCCCAGGGGGCCACCCAGGAGTCCACCTTGTTACCAGGGCCACTAACTACCCTGTCTCCAGCCCTCTTCCTCGTCCTGTCCCCGATGTATCCACACCAAGTATGTAATCCTGCTGAAGCCGATCCAGATGCCATCTGAGGGCTTTTGTGTGTGTGGAGGGGTCTATACGTACAATGTAACTCTGTATCAAAAGCTTAAAGCAGCGTAAGAATGTAGTCTTTGCACCCCTAACCCCAAGCTGTCTTCACCCTCTCCCTCCTTCCAGCCCACACTTTCATTTCTGGTTGATTATTCTCCGTATATATTTAATCCCAGCTTCTTTTCAGTGTGCTCATCTATCTTATTTCTTTGAACTCTAAAGGATGTCCCATGTCTGTCAAGTGAATCTGGCCTGGCTTCCATCAAGACCATCTCTGGAGGCTGGCACCCTTGGCTCTGCGTGTGTGTCCTGCAGGTTTATTTGAAGGACGGCCATTGACAACAGAAGGGGACCCTTGGGGCCAGTCCTCGCTTCCAGGAACTCAGGCCTCTCCTTCCCTTACTTACTACCCACAGTCTCTTCAGGGATGCCAGTGGTAAAGGCTGCAAAGTCCTACAGAATTCTCTGTGTTCCTGACAATTCTAAAATGGAATCCTTGTGTTTGAGGGTCCCACCTTCATTGCCCATACGTCCAATGAGATCACATGTGCAGTTATGACTAGCACAACTGAAAGGGCAGGGCACTGGAATGAGATTTAAGAGACTTGAATTCTACCCCCTTGCCCTGTGTAAGATGATAACCATTTTTTGTTTTCTTGAACTTGGGAGACTACCTCCATCCCAGAACTGTTGGAAAAGGCTAAGTATGCTGATGAAAGCGTTCTCTGGGGCATGGCACCCCAAGGGAGGCTGTTTTGGCAACGGACTATTTCAAGGGGCACCTAAAAAACAGCAAATACAGGAAAAACACTCTGACCTTCCTTCTTTTTCCTAAAAGCAGGAGATGAAATTCTTTATTAAAGATGTCCTCCCTGCACCAGAAGGAAAGTGACATTCTTAAAATCGAGGACAAGTAGTTAAGACCAAGAGAATCCTATACAGACCTTGTTAAAATAAATTTTATATTCCCTTAGTCTCCCTATATAGTTTAGTGATTTTTCCACAATTATTTCTCTTTGTTCAACCTAACATAAAAGCAAGTGATTTTTGCCCTTTCTTTGAGTCTTTGTTTCCTTATGAAAGCTCCCGTGTCATGTAAATCCTAATATAACTTTGTATGCCTTTCTCCTGTTAATCTGTCTTTGTCGGTTTTGACCCAGCCAGGAACCCTAAAAAGGTTGAGGGAAATTTTTTCTTCCCCTACACTTAGAAAACACTAAAGAACAGTCTTGTAGATATGAGTGAGTGAGTGAGTGTGTGCACACATGCTCATGTGGGTGTGTGTTTTAATGACAGGGAGAAAAAGAAATGAAAATTATTCTTTTTTAATTCCTGAGAGCATGCATTCAACCCCTTCAATATTTGGGGCCCTGGTAGGAGGAAGGTAGTAGGAATGAGAAGCAGAAGGGTTTTCTACATTGACCTTACTTTACATCATTCAGAAGAAGAGTAAACTTACTTATAAACCAGAAGCAACAAGGAACCCTGATGGCTGGCCTCCCCTACCCCACCCATGTGTATTCACAGTCCCCAGAACTTTGTCATTAGTCAAGCAGCAATAAGCCAGCAACAGTTACAACTTCTGAAAGTTTAGGACTCCGCCCTCCTAAAGAGAAGCCAGGGAAAATTGTAAATTTTATTTTAAAATGATAGTTATCAATCACTGCTTTATAATTGAGAACATTTTCATATAGGTTGTTTTCAAATAAAAACAATGTACAAATTAACGTGAAAAATCCCTGTCCTCTGAAACATCTACGGATATTACTTTTTTCAACAACTATTGAGAGCTATGATGCGCCAGAAATGGGTCTACAGGATTCATGAATGAACAACACAGATAAAATTTCTCACTTCATGGAGCTTACATTCTAGTCAGAAAGAGAGAATTAAAAAGGTAGAGCCCTGGCCAGGTGCTCAGTTGGTTAGAGCATTGTTCTTATACCCCAAGGTTGTAGGTTCGATCCACAGTCAGGGCACATAAAGAGAATCAACCAATGAATACACAAATAAGTGAAGCAACAAATTGATGTTTCTCTCTCTCCATTCCCCTAAGATCAATGAAATACTTTTAAAAAGAAAAGTAGAAGGCAAAGGTGATATGTGTATTAGTTTACTAGGGCTATTGTAATAAAGTGCCACAAACTGGGTGACTTAAACAATAATGTACTGTATGATCTAGAGGCTTGAAGTCCCAGATGAAGGTGTTAGTGGGTTCATTCCTTTTAGGAGCTGGAAGGGACAATCTGTCCCATGCCTCTCTCTTATGTCCCCATGGTCTGCTAGCAGTCTTTGGTATTCATGGCCTTCTGCTGCATCACCTCAGTCTTTGTCTTCATCTTTCACATGATGTTTTCCCTGTGTGTGTGTGTGGCTGCATCCAAGTTTCTTCTTTTTATAAAGGACATAGTCATACTGAGTTAGGGCCCACCCTAATGACCACATCTTAACTTGACCATCTGCAAAGACCCTATTTCCAAATAGATCTCATATACAGTACTGGGGGTTAGGACTTCAACGTCTTTTGGGGGAATACAATTCAACCCCTAACAGTCTGCAATGGAAAAAAAAAAAAACTAAACAGAAGAGTGAATGTGGGCAGACCAGCAATTGAAGTAGAGTGGTCATTGGTTTATTCAAATTGAAAAAAATTTATTGAGGGCCTATTATGTACCAGCACTTCAGATAATAAAGCTAGAGATGAAAGAAATGCGGTCCCTGACCTGGGGAAGCTCGCTGCCACAGGTGGCTTAGGGGGTTGGGGAAGAGGCGGTCCATGCTGCATGGTCTTATAAAGTGCTAATTTTAATTCTATAAAATTGGTCCAATTCTAGAGGCAGAGGCAAAGTACTATTACTGGTTATAGTATATCAGTTGGTATTTACATATCCTAATATTTAATGTTTCAGAGGACTAGGCACTGGGCATAAGTGATTTTTGGGTGCATGGGGAAGAACCCAAAAAAGCTCAATTGAAAACCCCAAATGGGTAAAATGAAAAAAAAAAAAATGAAAAGAAAGACCTAAAAAGAGATATGGATGGGAGGTCGCTTATGATTGAAGGATATGTAACTGAACAGTGAGGAAGCTACACTAAGAAGCAGAAAAGCCAAAGTTAAGGATAGAGTCAGACTGACCTAAGGGGTTTCTGGAAGATGGACGGCAGGCATCAGGGACTTCTAGCTCCCCGTCCCTTTGTTCCCCCAACTGCCGCCAGTTATCCTAGCTGCCTCTCACCTGTGAACTTAGGCCTAGCCACACTTTTATGGTTCCCCAGGCAAGGAGGATAAAGAGAACAATATTTAACTCAAAAGGTACAATTATTTTTATTCCCTATACCTATTACTCTAATTCTAGATTCTAATCTTGTGTTTCCTAAAATATTTGTCTGACGGCTGGCCCTTTGTTCCCAGTCTTCTGGTTTGTGTGCTGACTACCTGCTATTTGACCAGCCTCTGCACCTTTATGCCTAGCTCTGTGGCACCTGATTCAGTTGATTGTTCTGCATCTTGAAATACTTTCTTCCCAAATTCATCGCACTCACACGCTTTAAATTGCCTTGATCTTCCTGAGTTATTTTATTTGAAGTACACATTTAGTAGTCACATTCATCCTGTACCTGCAACAACCACAGACACACACCTGCCTTCCATGTGGTAGGGGTGGAAGCTCTTCACTATTGAAAAGGACTTAGATTCAAACGATCTAGATTCTAGTCCCAGTTTTAATGTGGTGCAAGCCCCCTATTCAATATGAGGCTCATTTTGTTTGGTAATAAATTTTCAAAATAATTTTAGAACAGTTTTAGATATTTAGGAAAATTTCAAAAATAATAGAGTTCCCATATATCCCATGTAATGAACTCAATGTTTTTGCCCCCTCCCCCTAAATTCATGTTGAAATCCTAACCCCTAGGTGATGGTAGGAGGTGAAAGCTTTGGAGGTGAGGTCGTGAGGGTGGAGTCCTCATGAATGGCATCAGTGCCCTTATGAAAGAGACCAAAGAAAGCTTCCGCACCCCTTCCACCTTCTGAGGTTATAGTGAAAAGATGCTATAGATGCTATAGTGAATAGCATCTATGAGGAAGCTAGCTCTT